ATATATCTTATTAACCAAGCGCGAGGGCCGTACTGGGAGAATATCAGCCCGAGGTCTTGACAGTACGGACCGAGCGCAGCGAGGTCCGTACAAAAAAGACCGAGGGCCGATATTCTTCCAGTACGGTCCCGAGCAAGCTTGGTTAATAAGAGATTTATTATACGACTGAAGTTCAAAGGGACACGGTATCATGATTCAGGACCATTCGGGACAGTGCCCGGTCCAATACTGAGAGAATATTGACCGGCAATAGAGCATTTTGATTGGTTGATTTTAGTTATTGGCCCTCTGACTGCCCGAGTCATGTAATAATAACTTCTTACACCTTTATATCATTGTGTGTATTCTCCATATGGTTTTCTATACATTTACTAGGTTGGTGACATTTCCTTTATTCTCATGGCCCTTATCTTTGATTCAGTGGTGATGATAAGGAAAATTTGGATGTTTTTTACCCTTAGGTGTTGTAGGATTATTTGGGTATTAAATTTATTACAGTACAGATAGTCAAAGAAGCTTTTGTTTGCTGTATACTGAATTCTACAATTATCAGTTGAGTGAGGCGTGGAAAAATTTTAGTAACAGGGTTTTGACTGTAAAATAAAGGTGTTGTCATGGCCAAACTTTCTTGTTTCCAGCTGTAATCAAATCTCTAGAACCATGGATCACTTCCTCTTTTCCAGCTGTAATCAAATCTCTAGAACCATGCATCACCAACTGTCAAACAAGAAAACCTATTGCCAGCAGAAACAGTGCCAGTTCTCCATGACAACAACACAATTGTAATGACCAAACATGGTCACCAAACTTCCAATGAGCTTTGTTCCACTAAAAACTGCAGTGAATACACTCTCCTTGATCCCAATGACTGCTTGTGAGAAGCAGGGCCAAAGCGCTCCTTGGCCAGTTATCATGGCCTTTCACTTCCTTCTGAGCTTTAGTCCATGTAGCTCTCAACTCTTTCAGCTCAGCCTCTACTGTTCTCCATCAATCAGCTTTAATCTCCTCATCAAAATACAATCAATGTCCAATTCAGATTATTAACAGTGGCAAGTAAACAAATGATCATTGCAGGTGAGATACAATTAAAGAAATTGTAGAAAAGATACCTCAAAAAGAAAAAGAAAAATCAGGCTTTCACTACATTGGAACTTGTGCCTTCTCAACACTGGTTGGGCACTGCTACCCACTGAGCCAGAAAACCACATTTTAGGGAACAAGGCAAATTTACACCTGATTGTTTATTAACTTTTCCTTCAGATGAAAGTGTGATCAATGCAAGCAGCAATGCACTTGTGTTTCATCCACGCTGTGGCTCCTCTGTGTCATTATTTAATGGTTTTCTCAGTGCTCACAGACCAAGGTACGTTATGCATGAATTCTGACCTTAACGTTTGTAGTAACAAAGGTAGAAAATTCATTGGGGAATCAAATTAAATGATGCATAAAGTTGAAACATTAGTCAGATCAGAATGTGAAATAGATTTTCATGAAAGGGGTTCTGTCCTTCCCCTTCATTTCACCCTCACACTCTTCTCTATGGAGCCTAACAGGGGTAAAGGTTTGAGTGTTGGCCGTGTCATTTTGTGCTGTTCGTAATCAAGACACTCTACTCTACGCTCCAATTGCCTTTCTCCATCTAGGAGTATGAATGAATTTTGGTGAGCTGTTGGGAAAACTTTATGAACTGCTGGGAGTAGGGGGTAAGCTGTGGTGGACTAGCAAACCCATCCAGGGAGTATAGCATTACTCCTAGTGTTTTCACGCAATGAGAAATTGCGATGAACTCTGCTCTGGCTAGATGGGCCACTTTGCTCCAGTACAGGCAAATGCACCCATCAATGGTTTACCCAGGATGGGGTGTAGGGGGGGAGGTGCAGGCTACCCAGGGGGAAACTAATTGGACAGCCACCCTTTAGTAGGATTGAATGACCATCTCTGAAGATCACATGACTCTAGAAATAAGAGTCTGCTTGGAAATCACCCAACAAAATTTGTTTATTGAAGTTGGTATACAGTGTCTTTGGACTTCCAGTTGGAATTTTGATATACAATAGATACCCAAAGATGGGTGCATAAAGCTTTTTACTTTATTGATGAATAAAGGCTGATAGTTTCGAAAGAAACTGTTTGGGGCTGCGTCGGTGGGAGTAACGAAATAATTTGGATATATCAATCTGCGGTCTTTCCTTACACTTAGGTAGCACAGAAAGCCGTAAAAATCTTGAACAAAAGCTCATCTTTCAAACCGGCAGTCTAAATCCCACAGAGATCAACAAACGCTTTTCATTCCACTAATTTATTCATGCTTTTCTCGTTGCCATGTTCCCACCAATAACGTAGCTCACATTTTCTGACTTTAAAAGCACACACAACCCACAATTCCTCTATTCACTCCAATGAAGGGCTAACGCTTGAAACGTCAGCTTTTGTAACCATTACAGTGGCCAATTTACCATTTCAACTTTGTTGATATATCCAAATTTTTATTTTATTGCTTTGGGTATCTGTAATGAGTTTATTTTGCTTCTCTCTTTGACACCTTCAGAGCCAATGAAGAATTCAATAATGCTGTTGTTTTAACAAGTCGACATTTAAAACCAAATGAACTCCTAGAGGTGCGTGTTGATATCCAAATGACAAAGTGGGCAGGGTCTCTTGAAATTGGTGTCACCATCCATGATCCTGAAACATTAGATTTTCCATCAACAATGACCAATGTACAGCCACCTGGTACTTGGATGATGTCAGGGGGAAGCATTGTGTGCGATGGTGTGACTGTCATTGAAAACTATGGTCCAACACTGGACGAAATCAAGGTAGAGATGTGTGACCTGTTTAATCTGTTGTTGTTGAAATATATGCAAACAAAAAAAAAAGATCTGCATGAAAGGTGAATTGACTCATTTGAAAGATGATGTGAGCGTGAATCTCTCTGTAGAAAAAGAACTTTTTAGCTCTAAGCAAATTCTCCATAATTAGAGTTCATTTCTTTCAGCTTTTATAGCTTGATACAGTACAGCACTTTTTTTAAGTTAAACATTACTGTACAAATTTGTCACAGAAATGAAGGCCTGGCATTTAACCTAACCCTTTTACTATAAGATCTTGTAAGCAATTCTCCTTACAGTCTGTCATAAAGTTGTAATCCCCTCGCTGATCTTTTTCTTTATTCTCATCGCTTGTCTGCTTGATATTGTATTGATATTCTAAAGAGAACTTGTGTCTTGATCAATTTGGGTGTCAAAGGGCTAACCCTTAAACACCCAAATTGATCAAGATAGAATGGAATGACAATTTCCTATTTTAACATGAATTACTTCTGATCTGTTATTTCACTTTCTTGCTTTCTATATATGAAAATGGCTGAAACTGAAACTCATGGGATGTCAAGAGATACTTTGTACTAAAATGAGTTCATGAACTATTTTGCATAATGTGGAAATGGAACTTAAACCCTTTTAACTTCCAAGATCTGATTGTTAATTTTCCCCTCTAGATGCAACACATTTCCTTGTAAATAAGTCACAAGAATTTGGTATTGACTAAAAGAACAACTTCTACCTGATGACTTTGAGCTTTCTCGTTAACTGTTTGCTGGATTGTGCATGGATTTAACAGGGAAAAGTTACTGGTACTTGTTAATTACTTCAGGTAGTTAGTTGAAGGGTTAAAGCCCAAAAGAGTGAAATTTAATTACAGGAAGAAAAGTGCTTCTATTTCTGGTATTTCACTTTCAGTAATTTTATTATGACCCTTACAGGTTGGTGATACAGTTGGTGTGATGCGCAAAGAAGATGGATCATTGCACTTCTTTGTCAATTGCACCGATCTTGGTTGTGCGGCACGTGGTGTTCCAGCTGATGTATATGGAGTGGTTGACTTGTTTGGTCAATGTGCTCAGGTGACAATTGTATCTGGGATACAGGAAAGTGGAGAGGTTGACTTAACAAACTCACTGAATGGTAGGAACCTAGAGAACTCTTTTTCTATCACTCTTTATTGCCCGAGTGATTCTTTTTCTATCACTCTCTATTGCCCCAGTGATTCAAGCTTAATTCCCAGAACTAATGTTTTATCAACTTGATACAATATAAATTAGAGACAGACACTACAAGAATTAGAATAAAAGGTGCAAATAAATTACAAAATAATGAATAAGGAAAATAACAAAACACAATTACAATTCATGTGCTTCTAAAGTCATGAAAAAAGGAAAGATAAATTTATGAAATGAAGTAAGGAAAAACAATGTTGTGTACAATTTGCTTTCAAGAAACTGTTATTTCACAATGGTTAACCCTTTAAGAACCATGAGTGACTGAGACATAATTTTTTCTCAAAATGTTGATTCAAAATGAAATAGGCAAGTGACAAGAATAGAGACAAATATTCATTGGTGGATTATTATTTGATTCAATACCAAATTCTCAGAACCAACACCAAGAGAATTGTATGGTAGAGTGTAAAGAGAATTACTGTTGAGGGTTTAGCGATAAAATGAAAACTACAAATATGATGTTAGAAAGTGCATGATAACATTAATTCATGATAACATAAGTTGATTGAATACAGCTATTACTGCCATAGTGCTTGTTGCCTTAGACACTAGTCAGAATAATCTAACTTGATTTTTGGCACTTGAGCAAAGTTCTCCTAAAATGACTCAAAAAAACTTAAGTTACCAGAGCAATATGCCCAGCATAATTCTAGAATCATTTTTGTAAAATTTTTGTACAATAATGAATTTATTTCTCATACATTTGTGTTGCAGAGGTTTCAGAAATAACTATTATTGCACCAGAACCACAACAACCTGTAGAATCAACTCCTTCACAGGAAATCACGCCCGAATCAAATGAAGGGCTTTTTAAATTCAGTTCTTTTCATGGCGAACAAGTAGCTGTTAGCCACAATTGCCGTAGTGCAGTTCGCATTAATCCCCTGTGTGAATTCAACAATGCTATTGTGATGAGCCACAGACCTTTAAGAGACAACGAGCTGTTTGAAGTTATTGTGGAAAAGCTTGTGAGTCGATGGTCTGGTTCGATGGAAGCAGGTTTGTCATTAAAAGATGAAGTAATGGCTCCTCATTGAGTTTTATTTTTAGAAAGAAGAACTATTCAATCTCAAGAAAAATTCCCTCTTCTGTTCTCTGTTAGTCAGGACTTGGCCTCCATTTTAGGCATTTGTGTCACAAGATTGCACAAGTGTAAAGCATGGAGGAATAGGAAACTTGAAGTTTTCTCGGCTATGTGAATGTCATTAAGAAATTGCATTTGCTCTACACAGCCTCAGACATTGCCGTTCTCACTAAGTGGAGAAATATTATTTTGTAGGACAAGATAAACAAATTAGGGATTAGCTAGCTCGCGCTAGTCAAGGTAATTTCTTGTATAATTTAGCTCTACCAACACCTTAAAAATTTTATGGAAAAAAAGCAGAATCAGGCGTTTGCCTGGCTGAAGCCTCTATGTTACAACATGGGAATAGTATTACTTGTAAGAATACCCTAAATTTTGCCCAATCTTTTAGCTGTTAGTTATATTTTTACAGTACCAGTGGCTTTTTTTTTTCAGTTTTACCAACTTTGAAGTTGTTGCTGTTTTTTTTTAAACAGGAGTAACAACAGTGACTCCTGATCAGCTCAAGTTCCCTCATACTATGACTGACCTTATAACTGGGGCATGGATGGTGTCTGGGTCCTCTGTGCTACAGAATGGCAGCACCACCATGAATGGGTATGCCTGTGACTTGGACAAATTGGAGGAAGGGTCCCGTCTTGGAATAATGCGAAAATCGAATGGATCACTGCATTTCTTTGTGAATGGACAAGACTGTGGTGTAGCTGCTTCTGGAGTTCCATCAGGTAATAAACACAGTGTTGAAACAGTCTCACATTGATAACACGAAGGCATCACGCAGAAGAAGGGTTGAAGCCAAGAAATTGGGCTGCCGGCTGAAAATTTTAAGTGAGGCAGCTAAGAGATAGCACCTCAAAGAAAGTGCACTGCATCTCATACTTCTATGCTTTACCGCGCGAACACAACAGATGTACAACTGTTACACCTTGGCTAAAACCATTTACTATAAAAGTCAACAAACTGGAGCAAACAACGCTAACTTTGCTGTATTTTCCGACAGGAATCTATGCCATGATTGACCTGTATGGCCAGTGTGTCCAAATCTCTATATATGATACAGATTACTCCGAGGCTCGTGAGACGATTCCAGTCCCAGTCCCTGCTCAACAGACAGAGACGGAGGCCAGCGCTGTAATTACAGAAGGACCAGCAGGTATGTCAGCATTAAAATTCCATTGTGCATTTTGGTAAAAAATAAAATTAAAAATGAAATAGCAGTCACATGGCAGACCGGAAGAAAGGAGAATGCCACGAGAAGCCAGAACTCAAATTAAAAACAAGCAAATGGTTTGAAGGGTCGGACAGTGCAATTGCCAAATTCGAAATTTCTTCTATTTTGCAATTTGTTGGTTGAGAGTGCTGTGCAAGTTTTGTTTCGTATGTGAAGAAAATTGAAAAACACGCCAGTTTGTGTTGGAGGCCAACCTCAACACAAGTGCCTGCTTTTAAGTACCATATCGACATTGCATTGGTTTTGCCTTACTCCGCTGTTTGTTTGCTCAAGAAAACTCGCGCCATTCTTTCAACCAATCAGATGCCACATTAAAGCCAATCACGACGTGGTCACCTGCGTTTTTCCGCGCTTTAGGCAGTTTGGTTGTTTTTACTTTGATTTCTCATTGGCTCGTAAAGGTATTTTTCCTTTCGTTTGATTGGCTGTCGTGGTTACTTTTGTTTTCGTTTAACCACGCTCAATCGAAAAGTGCTCTAAGCACAACTGTCAATCAATAACGAGATTGCAGTACGTTGTAACAAGTTTCGAGTTTAATTATAGAGCGCGGAAGTAAAGCAAGACCAATGCAATCCTGGTCTACTTTCGACTACCATTTCGAAAGATTTTTCTTGAATATTTGAATCAACCAAGGGTTGCTTTAAATGATCTCACCCATTGTGTGACCTGATTTTTCCCAGGTAAAGTGACCTGCGGATTTCACTCCTGTTGTGGAAGAAACATTCGACTTGTGAACAATAAAATGTCAGCGCACAGATGCAGTGGATTTAATCAAGGTGTGGTGTTCAGTGCAAAACCTTTGGAAGAAGATGAAATATTTGAGGTAACAGACATAATGCAGTTATGATGTGTTGTGTGCCAGGAAGTCAGTGATATTGTTTGGTGTACCTGTGATTATGTTAAGTAACCTGTGCTCCCTGCCTCTACAGACGTCAGTATTAACTCGTGGTAGACTTGTTCGTTCAGTTGTTAAACTGATCTTTCATTTCACAGATTGTCATCGACAAAGTTACCGGCAATCACTGGTCAGGATCTTTAACAGTGGGTATCACAGCTAAAACCATACCGCTTATGACTCTCCCTGTGTCAGCGCTGGACCTGCGAGATGGAACCTGGCTCATGACCGGTTCCTGTGTCGTGAAAGACGGTGCGATTGTAAAAGAAAACTATGGACACAGTCTGGACAGATTACAGGTTTGTCTCAACTGGATTGTTACAACTTGACACTCACTTATGGTGAAGGAGCCAAATGAACCGCAAACTGGCATCGTGTTTCTTTTATTCCGTTCGGAAACAAGTAGACTGCGTGCTGTCGTGCGTTTGGAGATCATAGGTGGCGCTAAAATGTGGTTAGAAGAGGAACGTGGCACACGAGGCGCAGCCTAATGTCTCTGGCGTTCTTATTACATTCTGACATCATCTGTGATCTAAAACTGAACAGGCCAATAGCAGTATGGAATCTTTTTCAATGTTTATGTAATAAAGAAGCAAAACCATCCATCTCTCCTCCAATAGATCACAATTAGGAACAGAAGCTTATGACGTAGTTCAGAGTTATAAGCTTCCGGTAAGAACTGTTAAAATGCTGGTGTAATTCAGGTATAACTTTCGCACAAGAAGGTTCCAAAATCTTTAAAGATTCCCCTATCCCCGCCTTGCATCGTAGCTCCGAGTATTAAGTTCCTTTGAGGAACTCGTTTCTTAAATTGTTACGTTAACTTTGATGCTGAGAACATTCTTAAGCGTAAGTAAAACTTCTGCCACAGGCTGAGACCAGAATTGGAATGCAAAGGCGAAGGGATGGGACTTTTCATGTGTTCGTGAATGGAGAGGATCAAGGAGTCGCAGCCATTGATGTTCCTCGGGTAAGTTTATTTACGAAGTAATTTGGATATATCAACAAAGTTGAAATGGTAAATTGGCCACCGTAACGATTACAAAAGCTGACGTTTCGAGCGTTAGCCCTTCGTCGGAGCGAATAGAGCAATTGTGGGTTGTGCGTGCTTTTAAAGGTGGAAAATGGAGCTACGTTATTGGTGGAAACATGGCAACGAGAAAAACATGAATAAATTAGTGGAATGAAAAGCGTTCGTTGATCCCTGTGGGATTTAGACTGCRGGTTTGAAAGATGAGCATTTGTTCAAGAATTTTACGGCTTTCCGTGCTACCTAAGTGTAAGGAAAGACCGCAGATTGKCATATGTTGCTTAGAATGATTAGGTAAATTAAAWTGCCTAGCGACTGGTTTCGATGTGTCCTTGTCATTCCTTTCCACGTCTCGAAGGTGTTCTCGGAATCGAAGCATAACTACTGACTTGGCTTGGGAAGAAGGTTTTATTGCCAATTGGTGCTTTTTGATTGGTTTGCGAGCATGTCAGTCAGTCCAAGAAGGGACAAACCCACTTGCATGTAACCAGCGGAGCAAGTGATCAGCACCTGACTACCAGAAGTTCCCGCCCGTTTATCTAATACTAACGTCGCTTTACATTGACCGAACAGAGGATGATATAAGTGTTAAATTCGTGCATTTAGCATCGAACGCGATTTGTCTGAGGGATAAGATGTTATTATTTTATTTCAGATTGTTCATGCAGTGGTTGATGTATATGGCATGGCGCAGCGTGTCTCTATTTCAAGTCCGTGTACCGGTAAGTCCTTTGTGTTATGCGATGTTTTCAATGTTAGTTCTTCTTTTACATCCGCTAATATTGTCATTTATATTTAGATTTAAACTTGTAGTCTTCTTGGTACTGAGGTTTGTTTGAATCTCCGGATCTTTACCAAAATTTCTCTCCCTTCAGTCGATAGGGCGTCCCCCGCTATTGAACTGGTGGATGGCGAACCACAATCATCCATTTCTCCTGTGATCGAGGTAAGACGGTCAACAGGATAATGGCCATAGATCATCTTTCTACCACCCCAAATATGGGACTAGCTCTCATGCCCCCCCTACCCCTCCCTACCTCTCAAAAAAATTGGACTAGAGCCTTTGTTATGTGGGGCGAGGGGGAGGGGAGGGGAGGGGAGGGGGTTTTATACCATGACAGGAACAATGGGGATCTGTATATTATTAATACCTTATTGATACCGGAGGCCCGTTACACGAAAGTTCTGGTACTAGTAACTTTGCTAGCTCGAAGCCACATATTACATTCTTAATCTAAGGAGTAGTAGTGTGGGGCTCAGCAAAAACAACAACAACAACAACAACAACAACATTATTACAACACTTTCTCTTCAACCCTTTGATCCCTGAGAGTGATTAGCGTCCAATTTCTCCTTACAGTGCGAGCCCCGAATCACACATTAAGGTCATGAGAATCGACGAAATGATCACCAAAACAGTATCGAGAATATGCATACTGATGTTAGCGTGTAAAGGTTCATGTAAGGTTGCCTTACTTGGCATTTTAACTCATCTTTTTCGGTTTCAAAAATGTTTTCCAGGCACCAGATCAAGTAGAAGAAGATACAAGAGAGGCAATAAAAATCTTCAAAAAGTAAGTGGTTACTGTCGCCTACTTGGCCTTGTCGTGTAACATAGATTTTCCGTTGGTACCTTGGAAGAGTTGGTCTGAAAACTCTATGCAAATGTTGAAAATCCACCGCTAGCCACCGATACTGAGGTGAATAGTTATTTTAGTATATACTTAAAGAGTGAGACAGTAGAGCACAAAAAGATGATTTTAGCTCATTTATTCCAGCAACGATTGCATAGTGTGAGTAGTCAGTAAGAGCGCGCCTTCAATGCTATCCACTGTTTTAGTATTTACTATAGAGTGTTATCTTCAATATTCTGTTCATTATTTTTCCGGCAGATTTCTTTTCCACAAAAACTGCGGTCAATTCATTTCACTGGATAGTAACCGAACAACAGCAAGAAGAGTTGACAGTTACAATCATGGAGTAGTGTTGAGTGAAACGCCCCTTCCAGACAACCACTTATTTCAGGTCTGTAACACTTAATCTTCTCTCTTAATCCTCACTCAAATTAACCGAGCAACAAACCAACGAGACTAGGGAATATGTTAATTATATTTCTACCTGCTCTCCGCCGACTACACTTAATGCTGCACTTGTTGTCCATTTCTGTTTTTCCCGCTCGGCGCCAGATCCTTGCTTCCTTATGTCGAACCCGAGGGAGGTCCAGACCGAACCAACATTCGGGGTCTTAAAATAACTGAGGAGAATATGCTACCTTTGCTATGACATCTACAAAATAATTAGACGTTTCTGCTTTCTCGGGTGAGCATCATATAGCCGGGACCGAATGACCCGTCTCCTGCGTCTTCTCTTTGATGGTTAGTAGAGAAAGTTAAGGAACGAGAAGGGAACGTAGCTCCCGGTATTGTGCTCTGGTCCTGTTTCCCTAAATTGGGGGCACCTGCAAAATATCCTTTCAAAAACTTGATAAGTATGCAATCCGGTCTGGCTCAAGTCCCCCGCAAAGTTTTGTAAAGTGCATTGGAGCACATTTATATGGAGAATGCGCTATATAAACGCATCGGTATCCTTATTGCAAGAGAATACAAGCCCTCAAAGGGTAAGAATTCACCATAGAGAACAAAGACAGTTAAGGATGGAAGATACTAAATCAGATCCTAAATGGCACATTTAGAACTTAAAGTTCTACCTTCCACGGTGCGCAGACTCTAATAATCGCCTGAGTTGTTTAGATCTTAACCCTTTTTAACATCCCGTCCAACACCAGGTATGTATCAGAAAGTTAAATAGCCGCTGGACGGGCTCTGTTATGATCGGCGTTACAGCCCAGGACCCAGACTCCCTTACCAGCCTTCCAAGCACGGCGAACAGCATCAAGATCTGCCCTTGGATAGTTGTTAATAACACAGTGTATGTTAACGGGAACAAGGTAAGAAATCATGCTTTGGTTTGGTGATGAAAAGGAAAAAAGACCCTTGCTCTTTCGCGTGATTTTTGCACTTTTTACATTTTCGTTTTCGTAGGTAAACGATAATTTACGGCGAAGTCTTGACAGCCTTCAAGAAGGAGACACCCTTGGAGTTTTGATTGACAAGAAAAGCAGGTTGCACCTGCTTATAAACGGAGAGGACTTGGGGCCGATTGCACAGGCCATCCCGGCCAGACGATTTGCAGTACTGGACTTGTATGGTTGTTGCGAAGAAGTATCTATTGTAACTGCTGATCATGGTGAACGCGGGCGAGTTTCCATGGATGAAACCAAGATCGAGAGAAGCTTGGGTAAATAAGAAAGCACTTCAAGTCATTCTTGCAATTTTTTTTTTTCCTTTATGGAAAGATTTCTTCCAGAGAAGAGCGACGTTGGATGCCTGCATCTTCATAGCCATTAGTGATTGACGTTTGCCGTTCTCTCTGTTTCCCTTCAATAAAATGATAGTCTTTGTGTTGTTCTATGCGTTTCCAGGGGAACACAGTAAAGGTCCATGTGATTACAGACAGCTTTGTGACCGATTCCGGGCCAGTTTGGCAATACCAGGTCAGCGCTACTCTAAAACTACTTAAAAAGTTGGGTTCAGTTACGGCCCTCTGTTAACCCTTTATACACTAACATCGGTATGTACATTCCCCATGCTGTTTTCTCTACAATTCCTAAGGTGTTGGCTAGGACCAGCAAAGAGTGTCTTTAAGAGTGTCTTTAGTTGGTGATTATTTGTTTTATTCTCTTGACCTTGATGTGCGATTCAAGGGTGATTTTAAGCGGAGAAATAAGATGCTTGTCGCTCTTAGAGGTAAAAGAAATAACTGATCTCAACTTTTTGTATGTATCCTTTTCATTGAAAAGCGCAGCATTTTTCCTGTTAAGTCTCTTGTTTTCGTTAAAGGAGGCTTGCTATTTGGTCGAAATTTTTAATTGTTGGCACTATGGTGCTACTTGAATTTGTTTTCTTCAAGCTTCTTTCTACAATCCACAGATGAATATTTTAATACAGACTGCAAATCCAACGTCTGCTATTGCCAGGCGTGCCACGAAGCCCGAGGTGAAAAACGTTATGCTGTCAGTGGTGATCCACCCTGTCGGTATGCGCTGCCTTTGGGATGGTGTCAGTTTGTGCTAAGGTGAGCATGCGCTGATTCTAATCATTTATCTCAAATCTTAATTTTTCGGTCAGATCCGCTCTCTTTACATCGTGATATGAGGCTAATGCCTGACAAGTCATCAAATCCATTGTTTATCTCGTTCAGAATTCCTCCGCGAGTCGAAGGATATCACGTGTTCGACAAATGGCACGTGGCTTTTTACGGAACCCCAATTGGAAGACTAAGAAGAATACTTGATCTTGGTAATATTCCACTGCAAGGTAAACAATGCTGTTCTTTTAAATCACTCTAATTTTCATGTTGTTGGGACAAATGTGGAGTCTTAGGGATACTTCTATTGTCTTTGTCAGTCTGTAGTAGTCAGCGGCGGAGGGGCTCGTCAAACAAAGAAAACGAAGTTCCCCAGCTCTGTGTATCACCCACGATCCTTTGCTCATATGAAGCCCAAGCAAAGAGACAAGAGTAAGTAAATGACGTCAGTGATGATATTCGATGCTCAGCTAAGCAACATGCGCTCTCTGCGATGGGTAACAACTTAGTTGAAAAGTAGGGTGTTCTGGGGCGGATCCAGGTTTTTAGTCGAGGGGGTTCGATGAAAGGCGGCCGCCGAAGGCAGTGCCCCAGTAGGGGGGTCTGGGGGCATCTTCCCCCGGAAAATGTTTAAATTTCAAGTCCTCGGAAACGCGATTTGCGCCATTTTGAGGCAAAGTCACCGTGTGTTAATATCTCATTTTTAAAGTTAAAATGCTATTCTTTTTTTTCAAAATTTAACAAAGCTACGTAAAAACATGCAAATGTGCATTAAGAAAAATATGATATGATACTGCATTTTATCATATTCAATTTTTTGTTTATTCAAAGACGGGATCGACAAGAAGCATTCTTCGGGGATATCTTTCCGCAAAAAGCTGGATCACAGCATCGTAGTCAACGGGCTTTTCGTAATGAATGCTCATCAGAGCCAAGGCTGACAGTCTTTAGCTTTATTGAGCAGCAGAAGCTTAACTTTGCTATGAGCTTTTTTCATTTAAGATTGACTGTTTTTAGTTAAGATTTTTACAAGTTTTGACATTAACGAAACGTCGTAGTTTTTTACCGTTAATTTTTATTATCAAATGTTTTTGACATTAGTTGTTTTAATTTATGGGGTTCGATCAAACCCCCCGAACCCACCCCCCTCCCCTAGATCCGCCCCAGGGTGTTTGTTTGTTTGTTTGTTTGTTTTTTGTGATGGGATATAAGAAGTCGAACATTTACCGAGTACTTCAAAAAATTTTCCCATACTGCATTTGATTGAAATAGCGCAGCGGTCCTTTTTATTTCAAGAATTTTTTTTTTTTTTCATTAGCCGATACTGTACGTAATTTGTTTTTGCTTTTTTTCCCACACCTAATTTAAGATATTGCATTTACTGTATAAAGCGTCGCGACGCTCGGTTAATTTCGTGACCAGCCAATGCAACGCCAGTTTGCGGGCGCTTTTTTACTGTCTCTTTGGAATATTTTTGCTCATAATTGCCTTGATGTGACTTTCATGAATGATTCTCTTCTTCTTTCTTTCGTGCCACAGATACAGAGATAGTGCAACAGGAAAACTCTATCATGTCCGAGTGGCTTTACAACTTCTCGTGAAGCCTGGTAACTACAGAACTGGTCGGAGTCACCGTGATGTTGACGCCAACGAGCTGCTCGATGAAAATATTGGCACAGAAAATCTGGAATGGTATTTAGAGAACCAAGGTTCCGTGGTCCTGACTGCTCTGCTTATAAATATTGAGCCGACATAACATTTTTAAAAAAAAATAGTTTCAAACGACTTTTGGCGAGTTATTGCTAAATTATGAACGCTACGAATTCGAGGTGTAAATTATGCGAAGATTATTTAAGTGGTGATAAATTCCCCGCGGACAGGGTTTGTTAATGACTTTTGAACAGCCAGCAATCAAAGTTTTTTTAACCATTATTATAATTATTGGTATTATTATTATTATTACCATTATTATTATGACGCAGTTTATTGAAATTCACAACGCCAGGAAAAGAAAGTTTCATAGGACGCACAGCGTAACCTGTGAAACTACACATCGTTGCACTTATAAAAAATGTAAAAACCTATTTGCTAGCATGTTATTATTATTATTATTATCATGTTGTTTGCGATTATTATTATTATTATTATTATTATTATTATTATTATCGGCAGGTATATTATGATAGGATCATGTTAGCCCACCTTCTGACCCCATATATTTGATCACAAATTCCCTGGGGTAAACTGGTCTCCCTTTTATTTCTAGGAAGTAGCCCTTGGGGGGAGATTGGTTCAGGGTTCAGAAAGTCTTCAAGAAAGTTGATTAATGGAGTAATTGCTGACTATATGGCTCGCTAAAAATTTTGTGTCCTTCCTGTGTTGAAGATGTTGTAGTTTAAAATTTGGGAGCGGCAAACCCAAATTCCTTCCCCCACTTCTCCTCCGGGACCTCCTACGGAGACTTGTTTTAAAGGTATTTTTAATATATGAAACCCAGTGATTGAGTACTACTTCTATCTCCTTTGTCTCGTTTGGAAAATACATCTTGATTATGTCGAGAAGTACATTCGTTTGATAAATTAGCTGTGGCCGGTATAAATAGATAATTCTAAATAGTATTCCTCTTGGCCAATAACATTGGCACTACCAAACTGTCAATTGATTTTTTTCTAGAGTCAATAATGGTGAAATGTTTAGCAAGCAACAGTGGACGATAATCCTACTCTTGTACGTTGGATCAGCAGTGATCTAATCGGCCCAAAATAACGAATATAAATATAGAGGCAAGACCGAGACAACATAGATAAGTTTTAAGACGGAGCACTATATTTCGGCTGGCCAAACCAGCCTTCTTCAGGTGCAGTGGCAATTGACACAGAATTAAGGTGGTACTATGTCAATTGCCACTGCACCTGAAGAAGGCTGGTTTGGCCAGCCGAAATATAGTGCTCCGTCTTAAAAGTTATCTACGTTGTATCGGTCTTGCCCCTATATTTATATTCAATAATGGTGTTCCAAAATTAGGTTGTTCTCGTTGATATAATAATCAGCACAATGCTGTTTTCTTAAAAAAGTATTTTTTGAGAAACTAGAGTATTTGAAGATGTTATTTTCTAATTAAGCCAAAATGCATTTTGCACGTGGGGGCCGGAGCAAGTTAGAAAGTTCCAATAGGCTTACAGTGGTGGAACTGTCTTAGATGTAAGTATTTTACTACAACTGAGGGGCTCAGTTAAGAAGAGATTATCAGAACTGGTTAACTGTTGATAATCCCTCAGAGGACTTCAAAATATTTCACCTCAAAATGGAAATTAAAGATGAAAGAATGTCTTTGCAGGGTCTCTCTTTCTATTTCCTTTGCTTTACCGTATGGTAGAAAGGGCTTGGAAGATCTCTTGGGATTTCTTTTGTGACTAGCGGTTTTCTACCTGGGTAACTTTTAGCAGGTACCGAACGGGGCAAAATTTGGCTGTCTCGGAAATTTCATCAGCCTTCTAAGGTGGCTGAACACAGGTTTCGCGCGCTTTTGCTGATGCAATTCAGCGCGCGCACATGGATTCCAAAAAAACAAACATGCCGTCAACAGAGCGGCAATTTCATTTACTCAACACGTACCCGCACAATCTGTGCTATTTTTCTCTATAGTTGGCGTAGTGTATAGAGAGCTTTAATCTTTTATTACAAAGATATGTTAGAAAAGTTAACGGTGCAAAGAACCTAGCAATACTCAGCTTTTTCGACGTTACCGAAAGAAACAGTTAAATGCAGCACATGCGTAGTAAGTCGAAAAATTGCGATTTAATGGAAAATTGCTTTCTCGGTAAAACGCCTATTTCTTGAGAACCACTCGTTAGAATTTCACGAAATTTGCCACAAGAATACTTTAGGAAATAAGTAACTAGAGAATTTAAAAAAATTGATTTTAAACAAAGGAAATTCTAGAAAACCGAGTGAACATTCAGCAAGGGATTAATAATTAAAGATCTGATAAATTGTTAGCAAAATGGGTTAGATTCCCTCGCTTTGTACCAGGCCAACATAAGGTAATACTATAAGTTCAATCTTAAAATTGCTTATTTAAATATCAACAGCCTGATAAACAAAATAGATGAAAAGAAAGAGATGCTTAGAAGGAACATGTTTGACATTTTAATTATCGCTGAGACTGAAATCGATGCTACTACTTCCACTTTCTTCTTAGCCCACCCAGGTTTTCAGATTGTTCGCAGAGACCGCAAAAAAGGTGGAGGTGGTCTTATTTCCTACATAAGAGCTGATTTGTCAGTGTACAGGAGAGCGAAGTTAGAGCCTGAAGGAGTGGAATCAATCTGCTTGGATGTCAAGGACAATAACAACAGTCGTTTCCTTGTTTGTGCGTGTTATAGATCACCAGGCAAATGCAATGAGCTGGAATTTATGACCTCACTTGGAAGGAGCTGTTATTACTCGGTGATTTTAATCAAGATATGTATGTCAATATTGCGGAGGGTCGGACTGCAAACAGAAACCTGGTCGACTTTTGTGATCGATTTTGCCTTGCTAATAAAATGACGAAACCGACACGCGTTACTGACAAAACAAAGAGCCGTCTCGATGTCATTCTTAAAAGTAACAATGAGCGCTTTTTAGCTTCAGGCAATTTGCACCTTGGTTTGAGCGACCACGACTTGGTGTTTGTTGTACGCAAAAACAAAATTCCACGTCCAAAACCACGCTTTGTTGAATACCACAGCATGAAGCATTTTGATCACGAGAAGGTCTTGGCGGACCTAAGTGAAATTCCTTGGGGGACGGCTTATTGTTTCTCAGATGTGAATCATGTATGGGGTCATTGGAGCAAACTGTCTAAAGTCACGTTCTTCATAGGCACGCACCTATTAAGAAAAAATGGGTGCGCGGCAATCAGCTTCCTTGGATAACACCTCAAATCCAACGTGAAATTGCTCTTCGAAACAGGCTTTTCAAAAGGTACAGAAAAAACCCAAAGGACAATACATGGACTGCTTATAAGCAACAGCGTAATAAAGTAACTTCACTAAAGCGCAAAGGAATAAATAATTTTTGTTACGACACGGCATCGAGAGCGAAACATCCTGGTGAATTTTGGAAGAAAATGAAGCCTCTTCTTCCTAATTCTGGCATAAATAATCTAAGTAACATAACTCTTGTTGAGAACGGTGTGGTCACGACGGAACCCGAGGCAGGTGGTGGAAATATTTAAGAGCTATTTCGCCAATGTAGTTTCAACAAATCACCGTGAAAATGACTTCAACGATCATCCAAGTGTAAATTTAATCGCTAGCAANCGGAAGGCTGTTGGCGTAGATGGAATTTCACCGCGTCTCTTAAGGCTCGCTGCTCCCATCCTAACGGAGGAGATAACACAGCTGATCAACTATCTGATTATGAACCAATCATGGCCAACCGAATGGAAGAGTGGGAACTTGACACCGGTATTTAAAAAAGATGAGGATACACGCAAAGAAAATTATCGTCCTGTTTCCATTCTTACCGCCATTTCTAAAGTGTACGAGAAGGTTATGTTTGACCAGCTGTACGGCGCTTTCCATGAACATCTTTCTCCGAATCTATCTGGGTTCTTGAAGAAACACTCTTGTTGCACCGCACTCTTGAAGATGACTGAGGACTGGAGGCGAAGCCTTGACAAAAGGGAGGCAGTTATAGCCGTGGCAGTGGACCTGTCCAAAGCATTTGATTCTATTAACCATAACCTCCTATTGGCTAAATTAAAAGCGTATGGCTCCTCTCCGTCTGCATTAAACTTGATTTCTTCCTATTTGTTGGGGCGAAGACAGCGAGTTAAGTTGTCCGGTGTTTGCTCCAGCTACTCAGAAGTAATGGTGGGCGTCCCCCAAGGGTCCCTCCTCGGACCGCTACTGTTTAACATTTATATAAATGACTTGAACTACGCCATACCGGATGTATCTCTGAGGTTATACGCCGACGACACAACTATTTATGCTTCAGACGTCTCGCTCACGGTTCTCGAATTTGTAATAAATAATGGTCTTGAGCGGTTATCATCGTGGTTTCGAGAGAATCATCTGGTGATCAACAACACAAAGACGCAAGCAGTGCCCATTGGTCCCTGTAAGTACAGTTACGACCTGGCCATACATAGCTCTGTCATTGAGACCCTGCCATCTATCAAAATACTTGGCGTCGAACTTGATAGCATGCCTCCCTTTTGTCAAGGCATTTCCCTATCTTTCAAGGATTACATTGCTAAACAGCTTCAAAAGGTATACGCTAAAAGTGGCGCACTTAGGAGAATCAGGCGTTTTGTCCCTGGCAATGTTTGTTAAGGCTCTATAAAACTTTCATTCTCCCTCATTTTTAATACTGTTGCCCCCTCTTTCTTGGACTGGGGAAAGTGCAAGCGAATCGGCTAGAAGATGCCAACTATTATATTCTTAGATCACTGCTAGGTTATCGCAAGTCTACCCTTTATGATGAATTGCTGCGAATCTTGAATATGGAAACGTTAGACCAGAGAAGGAAACAACAATCCCTTATTCTGTTATATAAATGTTCGCATAACGACGGTCCCAAATATATCAGAGGTTTTTTCAGTTTTAGGGAAACTATACACAATCTGAGAGGAACCGGCATTAATTTGTGCGCACCTAAATTTAATTTAAATTTTATGAAAAAATCTTTCACTTATTTGTGTGCTCAGCTGTGGAATGGATTACCTGCAAGTGTAAAACTGGCCAATAATATCAACCTTTTTAAGAAGCTATTGAGAACATTGAAACTTTAGCTGCTTCTCCATTTTATACTTGTATTTAAGTGACTCTCAATTTCATTGTGCAAACTTAATTTTTAATCTTAATTTTAAATTAAGGTACTGCTTCACCATTTTATACCTGTATTTAAGCGACTGAATTTTACTGTACAAACTTAAATTTTAATCTTGTTAGTTATTTCAATTTCTAATCAATTAGGTTTGGACAGTATGTATTAGGTTTTTTAGATTCTTGATCTTAGAGGCACGTACGTATTTTGAACGAGCTCTATGAGCTCCTTGACGCTAAGTGGGTAAACAAAGTATTGATTGATTGATTGATTGGTGTTAACTTGTGAGTGTCGTTACATGCCTGCTGCATGCAAATTATAAAGAAAATCTAATGACTAGACTTTATACAAAGAAACAAAACCGATGTTAACTGCCTATTTTTAAATCTATTCATGTCGCCATGGCAACGGCACATACCTCAGCTTAACTATCGAAAAAACAGTTTGTGTTGTTAACTTAGTTGCTGCCAATTTTGACGACCGAGAGATCAAGGGTTTTAGAGAAAATGGTGAAAGAAATAAAGGTATCAAAAACTGCGTTCAGCCACCTTAAGGATGAATTCCTGTTTGTGCCCTTGAACAAATTTTTAAAATACATTTTGCTTGTTCCCTCCCCCAACATTTCCCTTCGAAAAGGGTCACTAAGTTTAGTAAGGGGTAGTTTATAATTGGTCACGACTTCTCTTGCCGGCCAAAATTCCGCAACCGAGCCCCTCACGAGGACGCGTCGTAAAATGTCATGAAACTTCCTTCGACACCCAGCGCGAAGAAACAACAAAATTGATTCCACATCTCTTTTCATATTGTATCCTTTATTTGGTTGTTGGCAAAAGATATTTATCTCCACAGAGGAGCAGGATAACATCCTACCGTTCTCTTGATATTGCAAAACTGCGCTCATTAAAATTGCTTGATTCAAGAATAATTGATTTTTACATTCTATAGTAAGTATCTGTCTCGCAC